CCAAATCATCGCATTTGGACTGATTTATGGGGATTTGAGCCGCAGTACTTTGTTGGATGGAGGGGCACTCAAGAACTCGAGACAATAACCCTGAAGAAGAGTATCGAGAACCCATCCGTCCGACGTTATCTCCCCCCAGAACCAGAAAGCTAGAATACGACTGCCAACAAGTTCGAGATTGATGACCGAAGAAGGGGTACAGCAGTCACCTACGCCGACCCCCGAAAGACTGCAGGGGGCAGCGGGCGACTCCACACTGGGCAATGGAGGAAGCTGGAGCCGAGAAGCATGTCTGTTCCCAGGCAGGTTGCGAAGGTCGACGAGCATGCCTTGAAGGCCCCACAGGACGGCGCACTAGAGGAGCAGAACGTTGCAGATGTCTCGGGGGAGCCGAATTAGAAACCCGGGGGCGAGAGTCAGACGGCTGATGAAAGGATCTCTTCCGAGCATTATCAATCCGCTTGACCTCACTTTTTAGGACAGAAGTACACTTGCCCGCAAAGATATCTTTATCAAACAGAGGGAGACTCTTGAGGGCAGAATTAATGGACTCGTGGGGAATAGTCATAGTGAGAATAGCCGATTCCCTATGGGAGGCAGTAGCTCGAAGAGATACCCTAGCAAAGTGCTCGAGCCCTGTAAGCAGTGAAAGGCCATAGTCACAAACTCGGGAGAAATATCAGAGCCCTCCTCACATGTCCGGGACAAAAACTTGGTGAAGAGGAGAAGAAAGGACATGCAGTGGATACTTGACCGGGCAGCCTGGTCAACATCTTTCATAGCTGTCTCCATCTGCTGAAGATTCTTATCTTGGAATACGTTGGAAGACTTGCCCCTGTTCGGAAAAATCTTATCTCTGGCTGCGTCCGGCACCGAGAGATAGTGATCATAATCACCTGATGGGAACTTGAAAAGCGGTGTGGATGGTAGCCTGAATTCCACTGCTTGGCCTTAGCCAGTTTGTCCATAGCGTCTATGCAAGAGCGATCAAGGGGAAATTCTAGGAAGAGGGGAGAAGACGACCACTCTCCCGGCAAACAACGCTTGAACGAAGGGTGCCCCCATCGTCAGCAGGTGACAGGCAGCCCCAGAACATGTACCATTTCTCACTGTAAAAGATGTAAGACGTGAAAGACATAAGCGAGACTCAGATGGCGAAAGATCGTTCACCAAAAGTGGCTCATCTTCGTCCGGAGACTGACCAGAACCAGAAATATACGAGGAAAGATCAGGACCAGAAGTGAAACCCACCGTACGACTGTTATCCATCGTTGGCTGAGCAGGCCCAGTGTGGTGAAAGACACCCTGAGACTACGGCTCCGGATCCGGATGTATAGTAGCCGGAGGGGGCAGATATCGCCGGACAAGTTCCGAAGCGTAGTGTATCCTTGCTTGAGGGGGAGCTGGAAGCGGAGTTAGAAGCACAACACTGAGAATTCCCTCTCTATAGTTTAACCTAATGCACAAAAAGAGAGAGAAGCACGGCCAAAGAAGAAAAAGGCGAAATTTCCGGGGAAAAAAAACAGTTGAAATAAGAACAAAGAATAACGAGACAAGCGCTCTCACGATATTCTGCTTTTTTTTTTGTTTAAAGGCTTAACAAACATACAAAAAGCCACAACTGTAGGTAAAGCTAATCAAGGTATGTACAAACAAGAAATAACAAATAGAATAAATAGGCAAACAAATACATATTTATTCCAAATCAAACAAATATATACCAAAACAAACAGCGCCACCGAGGCAAAGTTTGGAAGTCTGTTGCAAGGCTGAAGGGAACAGCAAAAATATAAATAATACAGGGGACAAAGTTACCGTCTTACTGTTCATGAGAACGAGAACGAACAAATAAACAAGGTGATCGAGAAATGACACCGAAACAACAGGTAGTGAAGAAAAAACTCTCCACCTTTTCAGAGCTGGCCAAAAACAGGTCCGATAGTAATGGCGCCAAGAAAAAGAGGAAAAACATGGTGGCCGCCTTCACGGGAGTCAAGCGAGTGAGGGCGCACTGCTGGTGATCGAGAATTTAGCGAATGGAAGTAATGGACTCGGAAATAATGCATATGTATTGGTAATCTGTGTAGGTTGCAGGCAGTAGACTAGCTGTTTTTTCAAAAATTGCAAGATCTTTGCAAGACCTTTGGTGGGCAATGTAACTATGTGGCTAGATCAGAAAATTTTGACGTCATAATGACGTCATCAAAATTCATGTACTCTGTATACTAGGCAACCTCTGACAAAAAGTTGGTATGTACATGAAACTTGTACTCAGAATGAAGTATTTGAAATGACGATGTAATGGCATCAGAATGTGGTTTATTATTTGTTACATATTTGTAAAAATATTGGTTTTGTACACAGCGCACACTTTGTACCAGGGACTTTAGGGGACTGATGTCACAGTGGGTAGCATATGATGTCACTTCAATAAAGTTGTACATTTTAAAGGGCCTTGAACTAGTGAACTGGAAGTCGGATTGTATTCACTCTTGGTATGCCGGTGGACCAGTATATGATATACATAAAAATTTATATGATGTCATAATGACACTGTAACAATGTCATCACCCAATTTTGTGAAAAATTCATCCTTTTTGTTATCTTAAAATTCTTTGTGACTGAAACACTTTTTTCTCAGAACATTTAAACTGAAGAAACAAATCCTACAATCTGTTCTGGAACAGACACAGACTTCTTGTTTCCTATCCATTTTCCATCCTTTTAATGAACCTTTACCGCACTACTGCAGTTTACTGTGGAGGCTTCTCAAACAAGAGGTTGTTTATCAACAGTTATGACAAAGTAAACCTCAAGAAAAATCCGGGAAATAAACACAGCTATTCAAATGAACGTATTAATAAACAATCTCTAACACTCCTTTTTACTTGATTGTGTCAAGTTTAAAAAAGTAGAAGAAATGCATTTCCTGTGGGAAAAAGGAAAAGTATACTGCAAGCAAAAATGTAATTCAACATTTTCTTGATTAATTAAAGACACCAATAATTAACAGTCAAAGTTTATTTTAAGCCTATATTTTTTTCTTCAAAGATACTGGCACTTCCTTTTCTTGATGAATTCATTATTCTTGATGTCTTTGCAGTCATTCTTCAGGGACTTCAACAATACCAAGGAGATAAGAAACCTCTCTAATGATGATGCCTTCTTGTAAATAAGAACATGTATGTTGTCTTAAGATTTGCAGCTCAACATTTAATAGAGTGAACTGACGTTTTAATAAATTTCACCTACATAATAATGGCCTTTCATCTTAAGCTTTGTAGGTAGCAAAAAGGCAGCGAGCTTTGACGAAGTAAGGTGAGTGCTCACCCTGGTAGGCTCCTTGGACCTATTTGGACTAACCTCAGTGATTCTTTGGCTAACTCTTGAGGTGAGCAGCCAATGCATATGACTGACTCTCCCCGGCAAAAAAAAGGCTATTAAGGGAAGAGGCAAGTGCTTCCCCATTAAGCTCAGTTAATTAAGTAGTTTGTAGATGAAATAAGAAAACACAACAAACTACTGCACTTTTTTTTTCATATGAAGGCATGTAGCTTTCTAAAAAAAGAAACAAAAAAAAAACAAAGGGAAATATTTCAACTCATAAGTTAACTGACGGGAAGAACCAGCCTGCTTGATGGACCTGGGAAACATGCAGGGCAATGAACTACCTAAGCTAACAACACACAGGGGAAAATAATAAATTTTAACATCAAAATGTCTAATGATTTCACTCTTAGCCGTGTTGAAGAACAGTAACTTACAGCTGCACTCAAAACTCTACATACATGTAATGTACTGCAGAGTTGAACATATATAACACAGCAATACTCAGCGAAGAAAGCAAACTTCAAGAAAATGAGAGTGTGAAAATACGTGTCTGTTGATCTGATGCAAAGTAAATGAAGAGAGATTGTGGGCACGGCACCATGATACATTGTTGGAGATAGAGGATGCATTATAGTTGATCAAGCTTTTAATAGCCAATAATATGACGGCACTCAGGAAATATACATAGGCAAATGCTATTGAGGTAAGATGAACACTGTGATTAAGTGTGCAACCTTCATTCAGTACTGTCATGCTCCACTGAACTGTAATGTGAGGATTTATAAGGAGTGAAAAGGAAGGTTTCATGAATATCTGCAGCCCCTATGCCACCCCCCTTTAAAGACTAAACCAATTGTTGAGAATATGGAATGAAAATGGTCTTACAAACTGGCAATTCATGGATTTTTTTCCCTCAATGCATTTTTATGTTTGCTTTACATAATACATCTCAACAAGTGATTCATATGATAAAGCAAGTAAATTTTTTTCAGGGGGGTCTAATGACTTCAACATTGGGTATTATTATAAATGGTCTCATAATTCAATCAATAATTCTTGTAATTCAAGAGCATTTATATGACTAATCTGATAAATTTGTAGCTCTTTGAATACCACATCTTCTGAGAATATGCACAACACTATTGGGAGACAAGATTCAAATGATGGTATGGCACATGAAACGTACACAACAAACTATAACGTAGAATGCAGGTTGAGACTGTTGAGACCAAGAACAACTAAATATCAGTGACACTTCAACCACTTCTCTGAGAAGAGGCAACACACAAGGAAGGTAGGCTACAGTGCACTGTGGGTACTCTATTGTCTGGACTCAGAGCTAATTTGAAGAATTCTCAGGAAAAACAAGAGCACAAACTCTTTTTCAATGCAACTGTGTAACAAAGGATTTCTGTTGGGTAAAATACCAGGGTAAAATGAATTACATAAGTGATCTGTCTTTAGAGTTTTAGCAAATACCACAGGTGTAACGATTTCAAAAAAGAACAAAAGAGGTATTTATATCAGTCAAATGTTTGACTTACTATTGTTGAAGATTTCTCAAACCATAGCACCTTAAGTTTCAGCAAGGTATAGATATTATCACTGAGGGACTATCACAGAGCAAAAAGCAAAAACTAAATACAGTGTTTTTAAAGTTAAATACTTGCCATGAGGGCTGACACTTTGTTCCAGTGAAATGGTCGCATTTTCACTTTAGAGGTGACTTCAAATTTCCTTGTTATGGGTGCAACCATTTCTGGTGGAGGTGGTGGTGCCGGAGGGGGAGGAATAAAAGCTGCAATTGATGAAATATTTACAGCAATGTCAAAACCACAATATGGCATGCTATACAAACAACATAAAAACTTTCATCCATTTCCATCTGGATATTGACTTTGCCCCTTTCCAACTGAGTCTAAGGGAGAAAGGAGGATCTTTTTGGTGAATGATTATCTGAATATCTCCCTTTGAAAGATAATCCTACAGTACCAGAGGAAAGTGCTTAGTAATAATTCAGTTCTCACCTGGTAGCATTTCAGTAAAAGAAACTGAACTTGGCACCAAGTCGGCGGGGACAATGTCCCCCAAATACACCCCTTCCCTTTTAGTGCTATCCCAAAGCCCTCGAGAGTGGCCAAAATTTTCAACAGTGCAATACAATGACAGATTTTGTATTTGAAAACAAGATGCCCACTGATGACAGGAAAAGGTTCTGCTACAAAGAAAGAAAATACCAGTTTATAACCAATTTTTGAATCTGAATTGCAATGTACTTAGCACCAAACTGAAACAAATTTAGTGAAAAAAGTGAGAAATAAAAAAAAAATGGCTCAAGGTTTATCACCCGCTGGTCCGGATGCATCACACACACTTACCACACGATACATGGACATTGTTGGCCAGTTTGCTGTCGCGATCGCCTGAGTAGCACTGTGTAAATTGTCTATAATTTTCTTGTGAATTCTCGAATGTAAAAATGTTTACATAAATTAAGACAGGTATTAATAACTTTTTGAGATAATTTTGGAAGCTGCTGTCCCCATTGATGCCATTCAATCAGCACAAAAAAATGCCCCCAAACAAAACAATTTCTGACCTACTGACACTATTTTTTTTGATTTAGGCATAGCACAACTGTTTCTGGGCCTAATAAAAGACTTCGTGTATTGCAGTAGGCCTAAGTTAAATAACCATAATTATCATGGATTCCGAGAAATCATGGGCAGGTATTGATCCTGTTTGAGCAAGCAAATTTATGGCATGGCCTGCCCCATTGGGCAAAAAAAAACACAACAATTTGTCGCAGCCTGCGCCGTAACAAGGATTGCTCAAGCGGCTGCGTGTGCGGTTATGGTATGGGACCAACAAACTTTCAGCAGGACCAGTGAAAATTTTGAAGTACTGGTCCTGCTGAAAAAAAAGGATTAATTTCGACCCCTGCACTTCAGGAGATATAGTACTTGAAAGGATGCACCTTTAATGTCACATGATTTGTCACTTAATGACGTCATCACCACATGAAGTGAACATTCATTTAAATCAATTCCTTTTCAAGATATCTGCAAGGTTTGCACCCAATTGGACATATACTTCAGGACATTCAGCGTTTTAAATAGATGACCTGATACGTCATCATCACATGAGGTCAATATACGTCTAAATCTCTTCCCCTCCAAGATATCTGCAATGTTTGAACCCAATTGTGCATATATACTTCAGGAGATATAGCATATTAAATTGTGCCCCTTGAATGTCACGTGAGTTCTCACCTGCTGACATCATCATCACATCAGGACAATATTCATGTCAATCACCTCCGTTTTTATATATCTGCAGGGTTTGAACGCAATTGGACATATACTTCAGGAGATTCAGCATTTTAAATAGTGCCCCTTTTAATGTCACTTGACGTATTGTTTGATGACGTCATCACTAAATGAGCTCAATATTTGCCCAAAGCACTTTCTTTCCAAGATATAAGCAAGGTTTCAACCCAGCACTAACACCGACAGACTAATACCGTTGAAAAAAACTTATTACCTATTACCACTTTTAAACAATACCCACATGAGATGAATTGAAGGCCCAATTTATACTGTGGCACTTGGTGCAAAAAGAATGTTGTGGGAAGCCACAGTTGATTTTATACGGATTTTTTTAATTTAACAGAATATTTCAATGTTTGAAATTTAATAATAAATCACTTGATAACGTTGTTGTATCACCTTTTGCTCCAAGGTCTTTCCTTGGTGTAACTTTGATGTCAATCGAAGATAGCTTAGTAACCAAAATGATGCCTCAAAAACGTGTACAAAGCCAATGGGCTGAAATACTCAGCATTTTGCCAGATCCTGAATATGCCTTACACACTGTGTGCTGCCTGCCACACGTTACAGGCAGATAATGCGCGTCCACGCAGAGCAGCCAATGCACTGTATGCAAATGGGATTTTCAAGTTAACAAATATTGTAAGGGGGTTTTCATCTTTGGCATTTCATCTGTGTGAAGAAGTCCACCACTTATGCACTTCAATGTTTTAGCTATCATATAATGAAAAATTCACACTTAAATCTTTTACGGTTGATCTTTTACCAAATTTTGAAAAATAACAGAACTTTTTATCACAACTTCCGATTTGATGATGTCATCAGCCCCAAGTTTCACACATGTCTTGACTGGGGGAAGATGATCACACACGTCAATTTTCAGGCAATTCCGACAAACTTCGTCACAGACATCTACTCAAAATTCATTTTTCAGAAATTTTAACCTGTCGCTAGAGGGCGTTTGATAATTACATGACGTCGCCAGTACATGATTTGAGCCTGAGGAATCTATACCCCACCGACTAACACCGTTGAAAGCAAGTTGCCACCTTTAAACAATAAGCCCACTTCCAGTTTCAACTGGAAGGAAGGGTCACATGATTTGACCACATGAGATAAAATGAAGACCCATTTTTACCTTGGCATTTGCCACAATCAGTATGTTGCAGGAAGCCACGGTTGATTTTATATGGATTTTAAAATAATTAATGTAACATTTAAATATTCAAAAAAAAAAATCATTTGATGATGTCATTGTGACGTAATTATTTGAGTATTATGTTTGCTTTTAGGTTTTTCCTTGGTGTAACTTTGATAACATTTGAATCTTGCTGAACAATCAAAATGTTGCCTTGAAAACATGTTCAAAGTCAATGGGCTGAAATAAATATGGAAAAATCAATAATAAATTGCGTGATGACGTCATCATGACGTCATTGTTCTAGGACCATCTGTGCATAAGGGTCCTTCATTGGTACAAGTTTGATGAAGATCCAAAGTTGCAAAAGCACTAAAGTCGTGAACAGAAAAACCGTGCACAAAACAAATGGCCTTTTGAGCAGAAGAAGGAAACGGAAGAAATTAAAAAAAAAAAAAAAGAATGTTTTTTTTCGCAAAATGGCAAAAAGCCAAAAATGCTAAAGCAAGAAAAATGTACCTCTGAACCTGTTCAGTCACTAACCATACCATATGTATAAACTCATTTTTCAAATTCTTGCAAAGTTTTTCGTTGACCTCATTGCCTTTGATTGCTGTAGAGGCAAATTTGCCTTCTGGCTTCATTATTAGTAGCAGAGGTTAACCACTACCAGCC